CAAAGTATTTGAATGCTCGGCGAAGTGGCCATAACGCTTGAAAATGTAGGGATAACTATAGCATCTTTCCAATCCCCATGAAATTGAGTGTAGGGAAGGGACATGTTGAACAGAATCGTGAGTGGTCCTGAAATTGTATCCACGAGAGGTGACAGTAATCGTGGATATAACCAATCAACACCCAGTGTCTTACTAGGTCTGAGGCTAATGATCAGTTGAATAATTGCTTCCTCAGTCATATGTACAGGTTCTATAGCTGGTATCTCAGTGGTGTGGTTATGATAAATATTGTTAACAATACCTATAGAGTAGACGTCGCTTAAATAGTTTGATAAACTCGCAGATTTGGCCAGATCTGATTCAGCTGGTATATCTAAATTTCCGTGTAACAATAATTGAGAGATACTATCACTACGTCTTTTTCTTCGTCTAATGTACGAAAACAATCGTTTTTGGCAGGTACGGCTATCATATGTCAACTGTCTTTCGTAAATGGCACAGTATCTAGCTCATGATCTTTCTATATGTATATTCCAGCTTTATCCATTTGATATACGGCGCGTTGAAATCTCCAACGATGAAACAATAATCAGCCTTATTCCAAAAACAGATATGACTTAAGACAAAGTTGTCAGCAAGATAACGTGAACTACGGTATATTTCTCCTACAGTCACTGACCCGTGTCTAGATTTAGTTTATAACTCTATCACTTCTAATGCTGATATATCTTGCAATGATTAGAGAACGGTTGACATCTACAATGAGCCACGTTTCTGTGACAACAATTATATCGGCACTTAGTTCATCTATCATCAAGCTTAGCTCAGACGTTTTATTTTTAATTTATTCTTTTTGTGCCACTTTCTATACATACGTTTGATCTTGTTAGTTCGCTTGTAACGTTGATCATTTTTATATGAGCGTATTCGTATTTGCCTACCTCTCTCATTACATGTCTTTGACCTGCTTCTTCAGTTTGACTATAAACTCTGAGTCGCGGTTCCTATCTCCGATCCAGCTTCTTTTCTTTTATTGTCTTTCTGCGTTAACGGATGTATAAAGCATATTTAATCAAGAACCACTGCCGTAATTTGACTTGTTTTATTCCGTTATTCACTAAAGTGAATTAAGACAATGAAAATATACGAATGTAAGCAGGATATATATTTCTTTAGCATCATCATTCCATAAAAATGGAGTCAGGAAAGGGGTATATAACGTCTTAGGTCCCGGTGCATTAACTAGTTCTAAATTTGAGAAATTATACCATTCTAAACCTTATTCATCGGATTCTTATACTTTTATGGTGTACTACTATATCTAAATTTAGTCTTTCATTGTTTCTATTTATAAATTTCAACTGATACACTATTATGTTATCAGGTTCTATGCTATGTTTTAGTTAGTCATCTAAAGATTATGTTTTTGTTAAGAGCTGTATTGTGTATACTTACTATAATTACAACTTTCCTAGTAATACTTCATTTGCCGTTACTTTTCAGATTCGTTCTCTCCTATTTTCTAATTTCCAAACTAAAGATAATTCCAGTGTATGTAATTTAGAAGACAACACAAAAACAGTTGTGCTATATCAAAATAGTTTATGGGATGGAACGGCATTGAAAGAAAATGTTCAAAGTTCAACAGTTATGAATCAGGAATCTACATTAGGCGGACAAACTGTACTTGTTGCTGATTCAGACGATGACGAATAATGTACTATTTCCTGTGATAACATATTATCCCACCATGTATAGATCTTTATTTTAATATACATCAACCTAATGAAGTTATTTTGCGTAGATTAACAATGGATTTCAACAGATCTTCTATTACATATCGCTTATACAGATTGAAAAAAATAGACAAGTTTTTCCTCTTGAAATATACGTATCTTTTCAGTGGCACGGCTGTGTACTTTTAAATTCTGTGTATAGGCAATTTATTCCCTCAAACATGCATATCATAAAAAACTTATCAACATCTTTGGTTCATGTCGTTCATCGGAAGAGCTTAATGGTTCGTCATAATTGTTTAACTATGTAACAATGTAAATAAGAATGAAAGTCCTAGAAATTTCTAAGTTCGAAGTCTTCCATCGATGCAATTCTAAGCTTCTAGTAGGCGTCAACGTTTTTAAATTTTCACACAGCTCTTTCAGATAGATGATATTAAATAAAAAACTCAGACCCAAGACTTCTCAATCTCATTTTCAAACACCAGATACAAGTAAAGAAGAAAATATTAAGTGTAAATAATCATGTTATGTCTTATAACCGTTGACTAATGCTGCGTTTCAGGTCACCAATCAGAATTCTAATTCTAATTTGGTCTATTTCGCATCTACTGTTTGCTTGATAATCTAATGATTCAATTTTCTCAGTTAGATTAACTGATATCATAGCTAGAATCTGGGAACTGGACATAAATCTATCTGACTGGTCTCGATTGCTGATTGTTCCACTCTATGACAAAGGACAAAAATCATCTTGTGACGATCAGACGAATCACTTTAAATATTATAGCGTCCAAAATATTATCCTCAATAATACTTTGAAATTTAACTAGAGCATGTGGAGTGCAAACTCTGGAAAACCAAGCTGTATGAACCAAACATTCACTCTTCGGTAGGCTCTGAAACAAACATACTTTTTGACGTCCGACTATAGTTGTGTTTCTTAACCTTGAGGCGAAGCCCGGCTCTGTTGATCGTGACGTTCTGTGGCAGTATCGGTCATTGAAAGGTATACCAAAAAGTACATTAACCTCGTACAGGCTCTCTATTCAAACACTACTGGTCGAGTCAGAGCTTATGGTTAACTATCGTCGGAATTGGTTACTTCAACTGGTTTTCGTAAGGGTTGTCTGCCTTGGTCATTTTTATTTAACTTTCTTATAGACATCTTTTTATAGATGAAACTTTCAACTCCTGACTTTTCAGGGATTGATCTAATGAGAGATCCACTTGTTGATTTAGAATATGCGGACGATATATTCCCTTTTGGTGAAGACCTTGACAAAATACAGTCTTCTGACCACATTAAGGAACAATGCGAGCATGTTTGGTATGGGCTTCTGTCCTTCGAAATATGAAATGTTGTTTCAGAGTCGGCTCGCATCAGTACCTGAATTAATGAGAGGGAATGAAGCTTGTGGACGCATTGACCGCTTCATTTATCTTAGGAGTCTGATCAGTCCTGATGGTTTGGTGTCTGACTAAATCTCGGCGCAGATTAAAAAGGCTCAATTGGCTTTTGCCAACTTGCTTCACTTATGGAGTAGGCGAGAGAACAAACTCCACCAAAATTGTTATATATATATATATATATATATATATATATATATATATATATATATATATATATATATATATATATATATATATATATATATATATATATATATATAACAATCTAGTTACTCAGTAATAATACAACAAAGTTATATTTAGTAGTAATTCGGAAAAATTTTACATCATTCGTTCCGTTAGAACAAAACAGTATTTGGAAAGTTGATTGTTCCGAAAGTTTTTGAAACGTTTCCTGAAATCGAGTGCAAATCAACAATCCTTTATACAGTAGACTTTTTTAAAGAGCTCTAAATCGCGTCTTATCTGATGAAAACTGGTCGTTCATTTCATTTGTTTAACAGTCAATGAATAACTTTAGTATTAGTTGACTAGCAGTTTTTTCACGCATAACTAATGAAATCTATGGTGGTCATAATTCGACAAACATTTTACTTTTGATAATGATTATCATGCCCAACAGCTTGATAAGAATTATCAACACACTACTATCCTGAATTTCTCGATTTCAATATTTATGGCCAGATCTTTCAAACGATGATTGAAGGAGTGATATGCATGTATGTACAAACAACAGTTAATGCTAGACACAATTGAAAATGTTTGGGAGAGATCAGAAACCTGGTTTATATTTGGTTTATGAATATTTTAATGTAGGGAATTCACTGAACACCACAAAACATTTTAGAGGAATCTCTAGATTTCATCCATTTATTCATTCCATCGAATAGATCTTTTTATGCAACTACTAATTTTATTGAAATCATAGTGTACTATTTATGATAGATGGTTAGAGAACAATCTAACTATAGACTTAGTTTTCATGCATTCATTTGTAAGGGATATCTGCAATTTTAATCCACATAAATGTTTGTACTATTTTTATGAGTAAAAAGGAAATAAACATAGTTGCACAGTCATCAATATATGAGTATAAGTTATACTAGAAATAATTCTAGATCAAAAGAACTTCACGGATGTATTAATTATTTCTTCATTTCAACAGAATAGATATGAACACACATATGAATTTCTGTTGAAGGGAGAGATTTCTAAAAGATGAATTATAATTTTAAAAGAAAAAAAAAAACAGTTTAAAACGAAATGTAAATCAAATAGAATTTATTTATTTTTATTAAAATTCAAAGAAGAAAAAAAAACTATAACAGAAATAATAATGAAAAATATTTTAAATCACATAAGTTTTCTGAACAAATAATTGAATTGGAACATTGAACTATGTTTATTTCTGAAGTGTATTATTATAGTGATTCAGGAAGTGGAGTCTTCTTCTATAAAATTTTCATTCTTATAAAATGAAGTAGTATGAAACAATTCGATTGAATAATTTTTGTAGTATTTATACATATATCTGGGATTGTGTATAATAATGTTTATGGGAAATCATTCAGATTATAGAGAATGTAATGAATTATAGTTTTGGTTATTTTTGTTTTGTCAATGTAATCATTCAGTTTTTTTTGTATTTTTATATAGAATTCAATGTTTCAAAAGATCATGTACATTTGATGATGTTATTGGATTACCTTTTTATAACTTATAAGGATATGTATACATATCAATTTATTTACAGAATTTAAGTAGTATATATCAGATAATCATGCAGAATGAGGATATCAAAAAATGAATATAAACTATATAATAACCATTTTTTGTTCACATTCTAGTCATTTATACAATATTATAGATGAATTGAAGTAGAATAATGATGGATATAAGGTTTATATTCTTTTCATGAACAGACTGATAATTGCGCAGTGCATTATTCTTGTCTATATGACGAAAAATGTAGAAAATATATAAATGAGTTGTCTTCAACTAAAGACGAAGATTTCGCGATCTGTTTTTACTTTTAAAGAGGAAATATGCTTTTTCTAACCTTAACTTACTGGAAAAGATGGAATTATTCACTTGTCTATTGTGTATCAACACTTCAAGTAACTAAGTATTTTTATTATTTTCACATCCGTTTGTTTTTACTTAATCCATATTACACTAGTATTCTGTGGTTTGTAGAGTACTAGTATTTATCCGAAATGAGATTTGCAGAAAGTGAGTACTTTTTAACTCCACCTGGAGCCCTTCTAACGTTACTGCCGGTCATAGGCTCGGATAAAGGAGGTTTCTCCATGAACTTAGCAATCTCATCTCGTAGAGAAATGTCCAGGAAAGGGCCTGACCAAAGTTGTAATGGCCAGCATCGAGTATGGAAATATCATTGGACGACATGGACTAAGAGAAAGAAACTAGAATGGCGATAGACCTAATACACTGAAGCAAACAAGCAAGTAAAGAGGAGCATTAGAACCAGCAAGTAGAAATATATGGAAAATCTAGAAGCGATAGAGGATAAGGTTTCAGGAGAAGGAAATATGAAATAACTATGTGACAAAACGAAGAAACCATCAGGAGAATATCGTAAACCAGAGCGATCAGTCAAGAACAAGGAAGGCAAGAAAGTCAATGGGATTCAAGAACAGAGACACAGATGAGTACAGCAACTTGAAGAGCTCTTGTAAAGATCAATCCCACTGAACAAACTGGATGTTGAAGCAGCACCTGCGGACCTTCTTGCAGAAGTTACCTCACCAACAATCAAACAAATCAGTGTGGTCATCAAATAAATCGAGAGTTGGAAATTAATAAAACCAAAAAATGTACCTGGTGAAGCACTGAAGTCAGACATGGAATTAACTGCAAGCATGTTTTATGATCTCTTCAGAAAGATTTGAGAGGAAGTACCAATAAACTGCAGAGAGAGATACATCATCAAAATACTAAATAAGGGAGATGTCAGCATGTGTGAAAACTATAGTAGAATCAAAATATCATCAGTAACAATAAATGTTCTCAACAGTATTACTGAACCGGATGAAAGATTCAGTAGGCGCCCAACTTCGAAATCAACAGACCGGATTCCGTAAGGATTGATAGTATACTGACCAAATCACGACACTAAGGATTATTGTTGAGCAATCAATTGAATGGAATTCGTCAGTGTACATCAACTACTACTGCTATGGAAGAACACATGAAACTAGAAACAACTGACAGTCAATATCAAAGTCAGAATCTTCAATACGAACGTCAAGACAGTTCTGCTGTACGGAGTTGAAAATTGGACATCTACTACAACTATCATCAAAAATGTACAAGTATTTATAAACAATTATCTACAAAAGATATTCAATGTTCGTTGACCAGACAACATGAGCAACAGCCTACTGTGGGAGAGAACAAACCATCTTCCATCTGAATGGGAAGTTAGGAAAGGTTATTGGAAGTGGATAAGACATACATTGTGGAAATCACCAAACTGCATAATGAGGCAAGTGCTAACTTAAAATTTTGAAGGTAAGAGGATAAGAAGTAAACCAAAGAACACATTTCTTTGGTATTTGAGGGAGATATGACGAAAACGAATAGAACTTGAAAACGGAATGAAAGTAGACTCAAGGATAGAGTTGTTTGAAGAAGCCTTATCATTGGCCTATGCTCCTCCAAGAAGAGTAACTGGCGTATGCAAGTAAGGGAGTAATTCAGTAAGTAAGGGTACTATTCGTTTTCATGCGTCATCTAATTGATACGAAACTTCTTCGTGTGAGGGCTATGAGTGTAATGTAATATATATATATATATATATATATATATATATATATATATATATATGCGATATAAATAATTATAACTGATTCAGTTATAAACTACTAAAATTTGGCAAACATGCTCCTTTCCTTTCTTTTGAAAAAGAATTATGACAACTTACTAGTTGGTGTCATGAAATAAATAGTTGAAATTGGTCCATCTTCTTTTTCGCTAATCATTTGAGCTTGAACAATGTATAATGTTTCTTGCTTAAGCCCTTTAAGCTGAAGACCGGGGACATTCTACAAAGTTAATTTAAAAAAGACCACTACAATATGATCGGTTCTTTTGTCTATTGTATTTCAGTTATTATAGTTTACAATTAATATGGTCAATAATACACATGAACTATTGATGGCAAATAGTAATTAATGTTATATTATGTTATAATAGTAACTAAAATCTATTGATTGATATTTGCAATCTGGTCATCAATTTCAAGAAAACCTATTGGTTATTGTATAGGATACTGGTTTGAATCCTTGAAAGAGTATGAATATTTTATCAAGAATCATGACTTTTCAGGTGTGTAAGAGTGCCAAGTTCAATGATTTTGGAAGAGCTAATAGTGATGAGGTAGATATGTACTGAATTATCTGGTGATGGGTAACATACTTTAGTCTTCAATACTGGTCAAAGTTAATCATCTTATGAAACGCCGTTAGAACTGTTGATTTATTCTAAACCTTTTAATGCTTATTAACACATAATCTTCTTTGTTTTTTTAGGAAAGATTAGTTAAAAAATAACTAGATTCAATAAATAATTACTAGTTTAGAATTAGTGAAAATCATACTTACTAAATCTAAAACTTTAGACTGAGTTTTTTCTGGATCCATAAGAGGTTGAATAATATTACTGTACACTTCATATTCTATTGGTTCGTATAATCTTGGACCCCAAGTTAATCGAACACCACGTATTTCTGGATTTGTAGTTTTTATACTTGGTGTACGATTTTTCAGTGTTCTCGATGAACGTCTTGATTCACTTTTTGGATGTCCAGTAGATGTAACAGGATGCCATGTGACAATAGCAGTGTAGTTGACAGTGTCTAAACTCGATTTTATATTTGTTTTTTTGGATAAATATGGTCCATTGGCTTCAGCCACAACTATGAATTCATCCATTTGATTCTGTTGTAAACGACGTAGATCCATTGAGTTTTCATTACTTAATAAAGTGTATGTTAATTCAACTGGTTGAAGTATTGATGAAGAAGCTTGATAAGATGAAAAAGTAAAATAGGCTAATGATTATAAACTTGTTTTACAAGAAAGGATTATGTTAAGGGGATTCTGGTTAAGCCTAAATTTTTCCTCCTGGCTTCTAAATTGAATTAATATATTCTAGTGACCTTGTTCTAATTTCTGAACAGATTAATGACTTTACTATTTCCTGTTATTTTGTAAATCTATTTCTTGAGGAATGTAAAAAGTTATGAGGCGAATTATTTTAACCTTTCCAGTTATTCTATCACTTATATATTTTCCCGTGCCAATTACTTACGTGTAACGTTGACTAATCTTTATAGATTCATGTATGGTGGTATGTATGTATCTATCCACTCCCTTTATTGCTTACGTGAATTGGAAAAAAACTGAATCACATTATTTGTCGGGTCGGTGTATTACCTAACTTTAATGCTTTATACATTCACCGCATCTTTGATCCATGGTCTGAATTTCACCATTAACATGTCTGTAATATACGTATCCTTGGTGCGATTCGTATATGACTTTTATTATCTACGTCATATTAACGCGGTATGGCGACAGAATGTTTACGATCTAAGTAGGATATACATGTCATCAAAGTCATTCATCGTCCAATCAGCGCTATTCGATACTTGGAGAACACTCTAGAATCTTCTCATGTAAAAACTATGAATATATTAACGTTTTCCTCATTGTGCTTCTTACTTTCACCCACCCTTTTTATTTGGAATATTATTTCTTTCCTGTTCAACCGTGTTCTGATTTAGGAACTTATCGAGTCAATTGGTGTCTAAGAATACTAAGTAATAGGAATAGCTTGATTGTAATAAGAGAGAATTATAACAAAAATTAATACAAAACAATAAAGTATATTTATCTTAACAAGAGAAATATCAATAAGACATTTTTAAAAAAATCATACTTACTTTGAAGATAACAATGTTTCGGAGTTACACTATCTCTGATCACAACATTTTGACATGCTGGTGTACAAAAACAAGTAGTCCATTTAAATAAGATAGGAGATTTGTTATTTGTTAAATGATTATTCATACTGATACTACTAGTTTTATTATGATGATTTAGCATAATAAATACACTAGCTTCATAATGACATTGAAATTGCAAATCAGTTAGAAGTATATTTCTTAGTTCATATTCCTAAAATAAGATCGAAAATAACTATTTATTAGATAATAGTGATGTATAATATATTAAGCAGTATAATAAAAATACTGTCTATCTATCGAATGTCAGTGATAGATAGATTTCCTCATAATTTACTTTAAGGTAATAAATATGTGTAGGAACTTCATAAAATTCAGTATTGATTAAGGAATAAATTTCGAAGTTGAATATCAAAGGGGTTGATGTTAGTTCTTTATAAGCACTGAAAAGAAATAATTTATTATTCAAACTAATATGCCCATAACATTGTACAAAATGTGCTTACAAACATACAATAATTTGTCATTTTAATAATTGCACAAAAGAATGAAATGACTGACTGTTTAAAATACTGTTCATCTCAATATCATCATATGGGTTTCAGAGACAACGGAGGCCATCCATTCTCATAAGATTAAAGAAAAACTTTGTTGCAAAGTAACAAATGGAACACAATAGGTTCAAGGCCTTCTCATTGGTAACCTTCAACTGACTGGAAAGCTTTCTTTTTAGTATTAGGTACTTTGAAAGACTCAGGAGGTTTATGCAGTAGAATCATGGTTATTTCTTAACCAATTATATAAAGAGTAGTACACCACTTCAGTATGTAACTTACCTTAATAATGTTTGAGATAAGTCCTTTGGTTTGTAGCTAACAACGTAGTTATTGAGTATTTATACACAGTCCAAATCATGATGAGGATGTCTGTTTTTTTCTGATCAAATTATACTTAATTTTGATGAACGTAAATGATTTTAGTTCATGAGAAAGCTTACAGAAATTAGCATAAATTTTACAATACAAAACCAAGATAATGAGATTTCAATATATTTTGAAAAGTAATTAATGATTAATCTTCTCCTTCATGGATGTTGATTAACACAAGTTAGTAATTATGTGGACTCAGTAGCACGGTGAATAATGTGATCGTGTTTAAACTGAAAAGTGCTTGTTGGAAGTTTCTCTATAAATATTGACACTAGGATGTAGATACGTTTAGCTAATGGGTCCAAGATAGAACGAAACGTGGTTCCTGGACGCCACAATACAAATATAATTAAATTTGTGATTACAAGGGTATATGGAGACGATTCAATTAAGATGTACATATGAAAACGGAGGCTAATAAATTGTGATTAAAAATGGAATATCAACAAATACATTTATTAATACAAACACTCACTGCTATTCTTTTTCTTCGTGTTCCAATAAATTCTGTATTCGTTTGATTTTGTGTTTCAATACAAACTCGTGGCATCCATTCAATCATGTAAATGATATTTGCTATTGGAGTAGTTAAATTAAACTGTTCTCTATCTACAATTATAAGTAAGAAAACACTCATTTATTCGTAAAATCTCATCATTCTAAAAAATACTCTTAAACTTTATTTTGAGGAACAGAGAGACGAAAACCTACGTAATTTATTTAGCATTCTATGTCTAATCGGCATCTACCATTCGATTGTATTTAATCTGCTAGATACGGGACACTTGGATTCGAACCAGTCGATCACATGGAGGAACTCACACGCATTTACTTCCCTTTAGCAGTGAAGTAAAACCGTTTATTACATTGTACACCTTAAGACTGAGTACAAAATTTTCACTTGATAAATGGGTTACATGAAATGACTGACTAAGACTTACACAGGCTAAAGTAGTCAGAATAGTAAATCCGACAGATGTAAATCATATGGACGACATTGAGTGGTATATTTATCAGTTAGAAAATAGTTTATTGTTATGATGCAATTTATGATAAATAAAACTGTAATGGATAACAACTTTTGATAATGAACCTTTCCATAATAGTTGTTTATTACAGTGAAGAGAGAAGGCTTATGACAGGAACTTGGATCGTAAATTGAGATATGTGTTTAGGAATAGGTTTTATAGTTAAGAGTTGAGGTTACGGTTTTCATCACGAACTAGGATCCTCCATAATACAAGAGTTAGGATACAAGAGCAATTTTTAAAGCATTCCCACGATCTTTTCTTATAGTTAAATGAACTTCAAGCAAATGCATAAGAGATGATATCTGAGATCTATTTGACCCTTCCTTAAAGTATAACGTCATTTCAAGAGGTTTCGGATTATAGAAAGTTCCAAAATCTTATTCTCTGATATACAATAACTTTTCATCTTTATTTTCAGAAACGTCTAGGTTCGTTCCGAGTCCTTTTCTTTGTCTCAAATTCTATTGATTGGCTCAATATAATCTATACTCTTTACCTCTGCCCTAAATTTCGTCATTTATACTAAAAATAGTAACTGGTTAAGTTTAAACTGGGTGATGAATACTACAAATAATTCCTTTTTCATGTTAACTGCTATTACTATTGAGTTAGTTCGAATAAACATTTAGTCTTTCATAGTTTTTTTTTTATTTCTCCGTCATATTACGAAATCTAATTTGTAGAGGCTAATTTCCCCTATATCTGACTCCAATAAATAGTATCCTGTTAACTGAGTATATAATGCAGGCTAAATTTCCTAGTAGAATTATGGATTTACTCGAGATTATTCAAAAGTCTGAACAACAGTTATAGAGATAGTTTATTGTTAAAGATGGGTAAAATCCGTAAGCGTATACGAAGCAAGCACACAGGGAAACCAAGGGTGTGTGTTAAATATCCATATATATTTATGAGTGTTAATCAAGTATGGATAAATTATTGATTATCTGTGTATTACAACCAATGGGAGAATAGATTAAAAATGACATGAGCTCAATCAGACTCACACAGAAAATTACATGGTGGATCAAGTAACTAAATTACAGTGAACAGATAAATAATACAGTAGTTGAATGGGCTTAATGCCAATTTTTTTTAATGTTTCAGAACTGTTATATCAATTGATAGGAACTTGGTTTAAGGTTTAAACAAGCAGTTTCGTAAAAGCTGAACACCGAATATGTCAAAAGCGTTTTTAAATAAAAACATTTTTCATTTGAATTATTTCTCTGAAGATAATGAATATATTCTTTTGTTATATCCCAATGAGTAGAAAGGTTGTATTTCTGACGTTTCGTGACTTAATGTGAACTACTTCCTGAGAGTAAATAAATAACCGAGTTCTCTAAAGATGTTCAAACTGGATAACTTAATGAAACTTTGAAACGATCTCATTTCAGTTTCTCCAAGTCCTACGAACATAATCCACATATTATATCAAATCAGTTAGTGATGATTTATTTTAAGCACAATAAAATTTGACTTTTTATTATTACTTTTTTGTTGTTTGATGGACAATTTCCATATATATTACTATTTAATATCAATATTTTAATCCCGCGGGTGGGATCGTAGATGAGCCCTACTGAGGAGTCCCATACTAGGACAAAACGCCCGCCCAGTGTTTCCAGTTTTCCATGATGGTTTAACTTTAATTGATATATGAATTCAACTATTAAAATTACTATAATATCCACGAAACCCCTTTTTGATCATAAATATTCGAATTCACTGAAATTATAAGTCTGTACATAGCTGAGACAAATACACCGAATCGAAGTAAATCTCTAATGTTTTACATGATATTTTTTATTTGATTTCGGGAAAGAAATGGACTCCATGAATTTTGTTTCGATGTAGTTATTTCAATGGATAGAATTCAGTAAATAAATGTATGATTAAAAGACTAATTTACTGGAATCCCAGTTAAACTCTAGATATTTTTAGAAATACTTCTTTTTAATCTTTTAAAATACAATAAATGATAAAACATTCAAAAGGTGAAATGATTAACTTGATTACTAGAGCTCAATCTTATCTCCAAAATATTTTTGGTTACCTAGATAAAATCTTTGGAAATAATTTAGTTTAATATACTGCATTTTACTACTGTACTATTAACATGTGAAGTTATTTATATGTAATGACAATGGTTAAGATTATGAGTCAGTTGAAGCTAGACCACCATGGAAACGGCCGTCCAGTGCTTCCAGGTTTTTCATGGTGGTGATCTTAACCATTGAAATTACTATAATGTCCACAAAACCCATCTTATATGTAATGAGTTTAGTTTATCATTATGCTTGTTGCAAGGATGAAAATTTATCTAATGTGAGAGAATGGGAGAATCCACAAATCGATTTTAGACAACATAAAGAAAATTATTCCATTTGAAACCTACAACTATCGACTAAGTTTATTATTTTGTCAGTAAACTTATTGACTTGTCGTATAGTGGATAAGAGTTGCTTACCAATAGGGATTTAACACTTTTAGAGATGATAAGTTTTTAAAAAAAATATCTGCATGAATTTTGACTAGATGATTTCTTTTGTCAAGTTTGAAACTACTCATCCATTTCCTATTGAATAGATTTAATTTCATCATAACATCAATGTTTAACAAAAGTCACATTATATTAGGATCAAAACGATTTATCCAGATCCCAGAGTACACTTTTTGAAAACAATCATGGCATTTATAAGCAAAGATGGATAGTGGCGAGCAGTGGAATCCAGGACGCACGTTTCGTCCTATTTGAGACTCGTCAGCTAGATGTACGTTCACTCCGCGACTCGAACTCAGTACCATTCGCTTCAAGCGTCATCGCATTATCCACTTAGCTACTGAGTGGCTATATAAATAAATTGAACTTAACACTGACCTTTATGACTCTTAATTTTTATCGCAAACTACAACAAACCATAGCTTAGTTTTACACGTCATTCTCACTATTATATTGTTAAAATGATGTCTGGCATCGTACTATAATACAATAAGTTTAGTAATATTTTTTTAAGTATTAAAACAACTTACTTATCTTTACATTCAACGATAAGATCACATTTAGTTGTTGGTTTTCATAATATTGATCAGTAACCGATAATAGTCTCGCTTCGAATCCCCGCACATACAGCTTTCATTTGTTGGTATGGAAGTTGTAAATACTGGAACGGAAAAAAAGTTAGGGCGTATTTTTCGGAACAATGAAGGAATATTCAGCTTGGTCGGTGATGCCTACGACGGATTCAGATTTACAATGAAGTGGGAAATATGGTATAAAGGAGTCAAAAATGTTAACTAGAAGAAGAAATGTTTTTACAATGGTACCAAACTGTGGAACCAGAACACATTCTTTAATATGTGTTTTAACCGTCAAAACTCGTCAGAATAAGTTGCCTAAGGATTTCTTGAAGCTATAAATACGAACGTTACTAATAAGTAGCATGTAATCAGAATTTCTTAATCTTAAACTTCAGCTGTCAAAAGCGCAGTCCTAATACGGTCTTTAATCTTACTACTACATGTCATTTTGGTTTGTACAGTCGGTAAAATAATTGGTATTGTTAACACTAAAATAGTTTTATCAAATAATGAAAAATATTTAGATCAAAGGAAATAGTCCAGGTAAAGTTACCTGCTTCTGTTTGTTGTGATGGAATTTGTATTGTAGATATATAAAGTGTGGCCGGATGACTTTTCATTTCTATTCCTTCAAAAAGTGACACCGCTTTTACCTTAAAAAATTGGACAAAATGGAAAATTACGGGAAATCGAAGAAATAAAATATTACGAACATCTAGATCTAATACATTTAAAATCTTAAATAAAGTGTTTTAGTTAAAGGTTATATACTAATTCACATCAGTATCTGTGACTCCACGGAATAGCCTTGTGTCTGTGATATCTTAACGTTTGACATCTTTTTCGATATGAATGCTCATTTTTGAAACAGTAACTCATCAGTAACATCGGTTGAGTGTCTTGGTACATCAAAATACTTATTACGATAAGATACTATTAGCTTTAGTCTTGATAAAAATGAGAAGCTAGTATAGTAGGCTGGTTTTACTATAATTCATTTTAATCTATGAATGACAGAAATATAGTTAAAAGTACAATGATGTTCATGATATTATCAACTTATTGGCGAGACTATAATTTATGGACTAACCAATCAAATTTAAGACAACAGGTCTTGAGTTCTGACGCGAAATTCATTCACCCATTTGGCTAAATAGCATTTTGGCATTATAGCTGATGTCAGTTCGTGATGAAAAACCATAAGTCTAATTCCTACCTTTAACCATCAACTGTGAATCATTATCCTTAATCTTCAAACTGCTTTATAATCCTCATTTAGCTCTAGTAAGTTGGTAGACACTCTCACCGTCACTTTGGGGTCGTTCAAAGGTCGACCATAAATAATAGTCCCACCGATTAACCAAACTGCTTTAATATTTATTAACTATCTCATCAGTTAAAACTAATTTAATAATTAATCAGTCATTTTTTCCATTTCATATTTATATTGAAACATTTAAAATAAAGGGGTATTGCACAAAATTTCTTACAATAGTCAGTTTGTAGTTTGAACATTATAAAATCTTTTTCATATTGTCACTAAATATATAACTTACTTCAATCTTATACGTCGTTCCTGGTTTAAGATTTTGTATTAAGTATACTGTTTTATCCTAAAAAACAAAATAAAAAACTCAAAGTATAATTTGTAACTTGTAAGTTTCGTTTTAAAACTAGATATTTTTACGGAGTGTAATAATTGAATAACGCGATGAAGTATTAAACGAACGGTACTGGGTTCGAATCTCAGAGTGAACGTTAAATCTTGGATGCAGGTACACCTAGATGACGAATCCCAAATAGAAGGAAACGTGCGTTCTGAATTCCACTGCTAGCCACTATCCATTTTCGCTTATAATCCTTGTGACTTAAGGCGATAGCGATGTAATCCATAAAGAAAGCACATATGCAAATAAGAGATTGATCAATTACGGTCCAAAAGATCAATGGGAGGATTCAAGTAAACAATACCAAGTGAATTTAATGTTTTATACTTTCCTACATGATAATGAATCACATTATACTGAGTGAAACAAGAATTTCACTTCAACAAAATGTCACATAAATCATCAATGTTTAGTAAGTAACTTAGACGTACCTCTGTTGAGATTAGTTTTAAATCAACGCATTATTATAAATCATCTTTTTACCAAAAAAGAAATAATAAATAAGACTTATTTCAGTATAACTGTACAATCTAAATTAGATTTGAAGATTATTTTTGTTATGAATTAAAATCCCCTAGAGAAACTCAAGTAGAGGGTGGACAGGTAGGAGACTTTCATGTTGAGATTGTTTGACAATTGGCATCAAGGATCTCTTTTGTAGAGAGTCGGATCTAGGGTGTTCAGATCATCAATGAAACATGCTAGCATAATAGCACTGCGTTGAAATACATTTTTACAATTCATTTGATTAATATGTAGGGAACACGTTTCTATTTAATTTACAACCAATTAAAACTCGAAAAGTGATTTCAAGCATTTAGAGTGGTCAAAAACTTTAACGTAAAGAAAAGAAATGGTCTTACAAGTTGTTTTTTTTCGTGATCGGATGAGATTCAATGAATTGATAAATATTTTAGTAACTTCTTAAACTACTACAAAAATTGTCAGTAACATAAAAATGGTGATCAATAATTCGTAGCATGAACATTTTCATTTATTAAAAAGAATGTTTCAGCGAAGAAACTTTTCTTTTCGACAATATCATTTTCTGAAGCTATACAATCGTATTTATCGGTAATCTTTTACATACGTATTAAATTACGGCAGTTAGTTTACGTGAAGTATAGACCACTGATAAGGCTTCTTCAAACAACTCTATCCTTGAGTCTACTTTCATTCCGTTTTCAAGTTCTATTCGTTTTCGTCATATCTCCCTCAGATACCAAAGAAATGTGTTCTTTGGTTTACTTCTTATCCTCTTACCTTCAAAATTTTAAGTTAGCACTTGCCTCATTATGCAGTTTGGTGATTTCCACAATGTATTCTTATCCACTTCCAATAACCTTTCCTAACTTCCCATTCAGATGGAAGATGGTTTGTTCTCTCCCACAGTAGGCTGTTGCTCATGTTGTCTGGTCAACGAGCATTGAATATCTTTTGTAGATAATTGTTTATAAATACTTGTACATTTTTGATGATAGTTGTAGTAGATGTCCAATTTTCAACTCCGTACAGTAGAATTGTCTTGACGTTCGTATTGAAGATTCTGACTTTGATATTGACTGTCAGTTGTTTCTAGTTTCATGTGTTCTTCAATAGTAGAAATGCCGTCCAGGCTTAGCCAATCCTTGAATTTACATTTGTATCACATTTTCTTTGTTTGTCAATGATGCTATTCGGGTACGTGAAATTTACCACCTGTTCCGTAGCTTTTTCAACCAGTGTGATTGAGTTGATGATCGCTCTGTTGTATTTGAGGATCTTGCTATTTTCCTTGTATATGTTGAGGCCTTTTGCTGTAGAGCCTGATACTACACCATCTGTCTTGGCCTGGATTTGTTGGTGTGTATGGGATATTGGGATTTCGAATTTGGGCGTCTTCTTTTCTTGTTATCTTGATGAGATATATTTCTTTCCAGTCTATCAGTGGCACTTATTGCTCCTCTCAAATTTTTAAATGCAGTAGTCTGTAGTAGAGTAATGAGTTTTACTAAATTACCAATGATATTTCAGAAAAATATACCTCTTCTTCCAATAATGAATATGCATAATTACCCATACCACGCGATTGCCAACTGTCTGTTGGGTATTCTAAACTGGTCAGAAATCAGATCTGCAAACGTGGCATCTCAGACTTTTTCGATTAAGTGAACTCAAAAACCAACGTCAATATATCAAGAAAGAAAATGATTTCACTATATTTCACTTCTCTATTCGTAAACGTCTCGCTCACAGAAATCGTTTGCTTCTTTCGTGTTTATATTGACCAAATCAATGTTGATGTGGCCGTACCAAAACACTTCCTAAAAGAGCTATTCCCACACTACACTTCCAAAGTGCAATTTAAACTTGACGATGATCTTTAAAACAAATAAGTAGTGTCGTCATGGGTTCTCCATCAATCACTTTTCTAATACACCTTTCTATGGCCAACTAGAAGAATTTTACCCTTTGATCAACAATCGGTATATTTTATTTGTATAAGAGCTATATGGATGATAATATTGTCATCTGTGACCAAGACAGTGACCTTAATAAAACATTACGAGTTCAATAATCATCACCACTCGATTAAGTTCACAATAGAAGTGCAGTTTTACTTGGAATCTTACTTCTCTGATGCTTACTAAAATGAAGATCAGATGGGTTTCTACAACGATCGTTATACAGAAAGCCAACCTGGAACGAATAATGTACGGACTTCCATAGTTGGATCCGCCAGAGAAAAAATTTAATTTATTCTCTATACTGAAGAACCAAACAAATATGCAATAGTCATAAACGATGATTAGCTGAATATAATCCGACAAACACATCTGTGGAATGGCTTCCATCTCAAGATCATTAATAGTAATATAAAACTAAAGCGTCAAGTTTGTTCCTCAACATCAAATTCAAGGGAGATATAACTTCTAAGCTACTGAAGAACAGAATATTCAGACCACTGGTAAAGACTTTATTCACCAGAGCTCCAAACTGTTTCTTTCAACAAGAAACTTATTCAGAGAAGTGTCAAGGAAAAAATGCCGCTTTTGGCCACCTCAATGTGGATATACCATTTTACTTGCTCTTATGCAGAAGGTTACATTGGTCGTACAAATCATACAATTGGTAATCGAATATCCGAGTACCACCCTGGACGGTTATATAAAGAGGTATACAGATCAATCAACAGGTCAGTTCTCGAACACATGGTCAATTCAGTTCACACACTAACGCGCTAACCTGCATTCAAAATCCTCGACAAATTAAGAAGAGATGGTGCAAAAATGGTTTGGATGAGGAATTTATGCACAGCTGTGACTGTAGCAATTCATCATTTCAAACTCAAGCACTGTGTACAGAGGGGTTATACTCAATCCCTTATTCTCTCATGGTCTTAGCATCCCTTCGAATTTTACAAATTATAAATGGTAATTATTATCTTCTTCTTCTTCTTCTCCTCCTCCTCCTCCTCCTCTTTTATTAACTAGACAGATATCTTTATCTTTTATCCCATAGTTTATTACTTTTTATTACTTCCGAAACTTTTACATAACGTAAGTTCTTGATAACTATTGATTACTTTGTTGAATGGTGCAACATTTTTTATTCAATACTTGAAAATCTTAATTACATTAAGATAACACTCTTCCATGTGTAAATTGTTATTTAAAATACTTGAAGACTTTTGATGATCTCGATGCACTCTATTTTGATTGACCTCTACTTGAATAAGTTTGACCATCTTGGATAATTTTGTAAAACAGTTCCATTTTAATACAGACTACTACATGTAAGGAATTGCCTGTAAATATGATTGTACAACTTCAGAAAATGATATTGTTAAAAAGGAAATTTTCCTCGCTGAAACATTTTCATTTTTTAAATGAATCTGTAGACTACTTTCATTTATAATGAAGAGATGATGTTAATTCACATCTCATAATTGAATGTTTTCAATCACCAAATTGTACTGCCTTCGACAAAATATACACTGGGATTTACTCCTTATAAAAATGTTTAGGAAAGTAGACATTGCTCACTTTATATTACTTTGTCATGACAGGACTGAAGATTAAGTAAGTCGTACTGTAACGTTTCCGTGATTCAACATTAGTTGAGTGATATTTTATGCCAAAAGATGTTTGTCTTTTCATATTTTGTGCATTTTCAGCGGTGCTCATGCTTAATTATTTTCAACACTGATCTTAGAACTATTGATTGTTGGTTAGAGAACTATATGAATGAACATTTGTGTTTACTTTTCGAAGTTTATTTCTAAACTTGTCTCACTATAATGCAGAGCAGGTGAGTGAACACATGATTGACCTAACAAATCAGTATTTCATAGATTTCATAAAATATTTGTTTAATTCTTTCTGTTGCTTTTCCCATAACGTTTAACACTGAGCAACATAGAAAACTCCAGTATATCTGACTAACGTCAAGTATAGAAGTTATATGGTCTGAATATGATAAAGAACTGATTGACAAACCTACCCCAGGTACATTTGCTGTGTATTCCGTTAATGAACTTCTGTCTTCTCCATTAAATGCATAATATTGACGCCATATTATCTGTTCATAAATAATAGGTAATAAGTTACATTCATAGTTTAATAATAGCACTTGCTGGTTAATTACTTATAAAGACTTTAAGTTGATCTTGAAATATATGCACGGATGAATTTATCTGGAAAAATTAATACTACTAGTAAGTACAGTTTATTTTATACACTGTTTTATACTACTAGGCTGGTGATTACGAAAACTAATTTTAGTTCGTCTCATGAATATGCCACATTAATGTTAACTTGACTTGTCATTTAACCAGTAATTATTCTATCCTATAGCTTGACATCTTGAACAGTGGAGATATATATGAAGATCTTCAGTTACACTAACAAAATAGTTTTAATTAAACCCAAGTAGGAATGCATATTGGTTTATCATTACGTAATCATTTTAAAAAATCAACAAAACTATAAGAAGAAATTGAAAACTGAAGGGAATGCTATAGATGAAGTAAAGTAACATATATGAAGCATGATAGGTTTTTGCAAATGATGAACACTTTCAAGAACTGTTTTGAGCTATATAATTCAACTACTGAATTCAGTATTCGTGAAAAAACCAACCAGGGAATTTACAATCTACTTAAAATACCAAGTTCCGTAATTAGTGATATAGATCTGTTTTCATTAAGCTTTCATATAAAATTCACATGCGATCCACCTCCATAGGTAGTTATTCAGAATCACGTCAAACAAACAAATCAGCTCAAGTTGAGAAATTCATTGGACTTCTTCATTCATTGAGCTTATTCATCTTATAGATCACTGTTATTATAGTGTTTAATTTCTTTAGTGTTTAGACAGTACATGGGTGGTGTATGTTACTGATGCCGACATATATAAGTAGTATGTATGACCAGTGGAAAGTGAAATGCCTGACGGCAGAAGCTTGAGAAGATTGAAGAGAAGAGGGTGATTTGCACGAAACACAGGAACAAAATAGTCTGAGATAATCGATGGATAATTTGCAAATGAAGTATTTACTGTACGGTTCTCAGATTTTACCAAGATATTCTGTAATGTTGAATTAATATAAATTCGATCGTCCCCATTGGTATTCTCGTGCGCTATACGTGGATGACTTATTGTTGAATCGTTTTTATGTATCATCTAATCAGGATAAGCAAGTTTTAAAGTTGCAAACCATGTTTGAAAGAACTGCTACACAGTAAACTCGGTTTTTTAGGCATCTAGATAATTTGAGATGTTCCATAATTTTAATTTAAAAAGAAATTCTTCACTATCAATGTTCGAAGCAAGAGCAGCATTCATTCAGTTGAAAAACATATGGAACTCAAAACGACTGACAAGTAATATCGAAGTCAGAATTTTCAATACGAACGCCAAGACAGTTTCACTGTAAGGAGTTCAAACTTGAACACCCATCCCAACTATCATCAAATATGTCAGGTATTTATAAACAGTTGTCTACAAAATGTTCGTTGATCGGATGCAATCAACGATGACCTACTGTGGAAGAAAACAAACCATCTTCTATCTGAATAGGGAATCAGGAAAAGTTATTGAGAGTGGATAGCGCATATATTATAAGAATCATCAAACTTCATTAGGATATAAGCCCTAACTTAGAATCCAGATCGGAAACGGAAAAAAGGAAAACCAAAGAACACAATGCACTGTGAATTGAAAGCAGATATCATAAAGATAAACAACAACTGGAAAGAACTCTAAAGAATTGTCCAAGATAGAGTGGAATGAAGAATTCTGGTGGGTGGCCTATATTCCTCCACAAGAGGTAACAGGCGTAAGTAAGTAAGTGATCAATGTTCAAAATAATAACCTTTGAAATTGAAACTGAAGATTTCCAGGAAATTTCAATTCACTTAAACAATTACTGATTTTTTTTCAAATTAAGTTTTATAATCTGAATAAAGAGATTAGTTATTCTTTTAAAAGTGTTGAATTAAAAGTTTTCATGGAAAGAAATTCATGTTATACAATAATGGAAATAAGAAACAAAATGAGAAAGCAACATGTCGTCAAGTTAATAATCATCAATATATATATATACATATATATGTCAATCAACTTCAATGAAACAGAACACATGGACCTATTGAAATAAACAAACTAGAATTAATTAGTTTAAGTGTTACTGAGCTATAATTGATTTATCCTAAATTGATTAATTGATATGAATGATTACCATTTTGATAATTGGCTTAAAATAAAAGATGAAGTATTTAGCTTATAAATAACTAAAAACTATGAGAATCAACTAAAAAGAAAATTATTCAGTTTTTTAAAAATCAACAAATAACAGTAACAAAGAATAAGTGAATAATAACTGCTACAATCTATTAACGAGACTATAATTTATGGACGAACCAATCAGATTTAAGATAATAGATCTTGGATTTCGGAGCGAAATTCACTTATCCATTTGGCTAAATATCATTTTAGCTGATGTCAATTTGTAATGGAAATCTTAAATCTAATTCCTAACCATAACTATCAACAGGAAATCATAATTCTATTTCTTTACTCTGGTTTATAACCTAGTTAGTAAGTGAACATCATCAAGGACGCTTTAGTGTCGCTCAAAAGTCATCCATAAATTATAGTTTCACCCATATTTCTTTTATCATAAGCTTTCATCTGACCTATCGATTATTATTATTATACAATTTTCTATTCTTAAGTCATTCTAAATTTATCAGTAAAAGTCTCTCACAATCACAGCCACTTTTTTTGGCTTGATCTTGTATAATTGTTGTTTTCTATTTTATGATATGATGTGGTCTGATTTGTTTGTATATAAACTGCGTATGTCTGAAATACATGATTCATATGGCGGAGGCTTATATTAGCGTTCTGGACTAAACCGGCTGGATTAGAAGAGAAGCTACTATCTGGAGGAACCAATAAGATTTCAGAGTGACTCTAGGCTGCTTGTACTGGTTTATGTGTCATTGATTTGGTTGGTATTCTAATTGGCAATCTTATCACGTGATAGTTAACAGATCATAAAATACATAACATTTCTTTTGTTATTGACAAAACAATATGATTTCTTTATTAAGCCTTACTTCCTATTAACACAGTGATATGTCATTTTGTTATAGAATTACAGTTTTAATACTGTAAGGCAATCATTCAAATAAATAATATTTAAGATCACGACATATTGTGATATGAAAAATTGATTATAGTTTTATAGTTATTGATGGTTTGGTTGTGGAGCTTTCATCGTTCTTCTGAACGACATCATTAGCACAAATTTCAAGTAGAAGTAAGAAGAACGATCAAAACTCTAAGATCAAACCATCCAGCTTAGAGAACAAAACTCTATCAAAATAATCTCTCTTGAGCTATAAATCTTCACCATCTCAAAACTGAAATTATTATTTCTAGAATTATTTAAATAGTTATTAATTCCAAAACCCTTTTGTAAAATGACTGAGTCAACTATTTTTGAAAATATTAATTAAAGAATTGAAAAATAATTAAACTTTACTGGTTAAATTACCGAGTTAATTGTTAGAAAATCGAATATAAAATCTTATGATAACTTGTTATCTCAGTAGCTTTCATAACTCATCTGCTTGTTGCACAATCTCATAATCCTACTATTCTTTCTTAAAAGTAGGTGTTTATTTTTTATCTATATTATTTTCTATGGTTTGTATATCATGGATTAACGTCAAACACGTTGTTTCTCATATTAGTAGGAGTGGATCGGAATCAACGTAGTTTTCTATCCCCGATTTGAACCAAATCGATAGAATGTATTTTTTTAATATAGGGTTGTACAGATTGTTAAATTTCATCGAAATCACATACTGATCGAAGTTTTACAACCACTGAAAGCCTGAAAGCATTGGAATATCACTTCATCGCAGTATGGGACGTCTCAGAAGTGAGTATCCACGACCCTGTAACCGGGATTCGAAACCAGGATATTCAGTCTTGTGTGTGTATGCCTGTCCTCTGCGTTGCTGAGCCGAGATATAATGGTGTACGAGTCTAACTTCAATCAATTTGCGATATTATGGGACTGTCTTTCATTGTCTTCAGTGGGTATCTTCCTCACACCCGATGAGGTCTAGCTCCACTGGTCACCGTTTTTCATCAGAACTCCGGAAATTGTCTCTCAAAGCTAGTCACTGGCGAGCTCATAGTGAGTTTTATCAATAATTTAAAACTCAAAAATAGTTAACTATTTTTAGTGCAATGAGCAAACGAAGTTATTCTAGAAGTGATATATTTGGAAAGCGTACTTCGAACAGTATGATTATATAGTGTTTTACTAAGTCGTTTAATATGAAAAAGAAGTTAGTTTGTAAAAACGAATAGATGTATGGTAAAAAGGTATATAAAAAGTTAGCACCATTCTAGCGATACAACCGATGGCGATGAAATGATTGTGTGAATTAGATCGAAATCGGTTAGAGTCATAATAGACAAATGGTTGACAACCATGAATTTTAAAGTCAAACATCAGAATAAACAAATAATCTAATTATCTTCAAAAAAAGTATTGAAATTTCCATATAAAAGCTGTTTGAAGGTTACGTTGGCGTTTATGGAACCTTAAGCTATCAGAAAGTTCAAAATATGTTTAGTCGCTCAGAAACATCTTGTTTTCACTTTACACCTGACCTGTCATTATTTCATTCTCATAAACGTAGTGATCCGCGAACTGGCTAATTTCGTTTACTCTACATTTATATTCCATGTTATAACTATTTATTTATTGAACGTTAGAGGTGTTTTCTCATGAAATGGTTTAATGCTCGGTAAAATTTTTCGAATTATATTGGTTAAATGAGACACTTTCTCCCAGATCATGATTTTTTATTACACTATAAAAAACTAAGAAAGTTTTCCAATAAAATGTTTCGACAGAAAAGTGCCAGCAATAAAGACATTCGGCTGAATGCTGAACACATTTAAATATGATGATTTTGGCCGAAAAATAAAATTACTTAGGGATTTAGAAAGAAACAATCAAAATAACATTCACCTTACCTGATACTTTTTGAGCGGGAACATTATTTCCTCTGGAATATCCCAATGAATTGTACTATCTACATGATTTTCGAAAATTCTTGATCGTATTTCAGTGAGATTTCGAGGTCGAGATGGTGGAATTAACTGAACTTGTGTACGAATAGCCTCACTCGGTTCACCCCATCCTCCAAAACCTTCACTTGAAATAGCTAGTAAACGAAACTGATACCACGTTCCTGGATTAAGATCAGATAGAACTGCTCCAAGTTTTGTAGTCTGTTGACAAATAAACCAGTGAAGTAAACAGTGAATAATTACTTCAATGTTTCAAAATACCATGTTTACATAATTCAAATAAACCATATGATAAATGGAAAATCTTTTCAGTCTTTTTATTATTCTCAAACAAGCATTGACGAGACTATAATTTATGGACGAACCAATCAGATATAAGATAACAGGTCTCGACTTTTGCGAGAAATTCACTTACCCATTCGGCTAAATAACATTTTGGCATTATAGCTGGTGTCAGTTCGTAATGAAAACCATAAATCTAATTCCTACCCCTAACCATCAACTGTAAATCATAATCCTAATTCCTCACACTGGTTTATAACCGTCATTCGGTCCTAGTTATTAGGTGGACACTCTCAAGGTCACTTTGGCGTCACTCAAATGTCCTCCATAAATTATAGTTTCACCCAAGTATTTTGTGCAAAGTAATCTGTTTGAAGTTGGTTTACATCACTGATTGACATCAGCTAACGAATCATTAAGAACTAAGTAGCATCGAACAGCCATCTATTTCTTAATAGTATGGGACTCCTCGAAATTGCAGAAGCACCATATTACACGTAAACCAATTTAGAATGTTCAGGTACCACAACAATTTTGACTATCTTAGTCTACCAGTTAAATTCCCTTCAATCTCTAATATATGCGTTAGACTAGTGAATACAATTTATGACTTATTAATAATAATAGATCACTGGTAACAATAAAAAAGTTTAATATTCTAATATCATATGTATTAGTAATGAAAGCAGCATTGGAAACAGGATGATAAAATAAACTAGAATTTTAATACAATAAATGCGTCAGTAATAAGGAAAATAATCATTAAACGTTATGTAATGCAGAATAAAAGGTATGTAAATGAACAAAGTCAAATTACTAAGTATTAGACAGAATATATGAAAGGAATGAAGATTAATAAAATCGTTTATGAATTATTTGCCTAGCTATGAGAATGGTAGAGATGTTAGGAACAATTTCTTAGTTTATAAACCATTTCTACTAATAAAACACTTTGTTTCACTTTCATAATATTTAAAAAGCTAAAATCACTTTGAAGGCATAATAAATGGCTCATTCCTACTTATCACATGGATACTACTGATTAAACATTAGAACAGGGGCTTCATTTGATAACTCTGAATATAACAAGGATACACTAACTAATTCCGTAAGTGTACTCTTTCATTCATACATATGCGTCAACATAGACAATAATAGGATACAGGGATGGACCACAATTATAGATTAATAGTTTTGTGTAGATAGTGACCATTCTTTTCAGTAAATTACTTCAGATGTAGAATGTGTAGCATTTTTAAAATTTTCTAGTTTATTGAAAGCACTAACCTAAGTACTATGATACTCCTTAACAAGATAAATTTACGAAATAGAAGATACTTATGTTACTAACCAATATGTCAGTTAGTTTTTCCAAGTTTCATAGACTTTTAATGATTTTCATTTATGCATTTAATTTAGTTATTAGTGTTTAGTAAAATAAATATAACTTAAGAATAACACTATCTTACCCAAATTAAGTTTGTCCATTTGTCAAATAGATATTCATTTGGTTGTGATGACTCAATGAAATTATTCAATGGTAAAAATGATACACTATTAATGGATTTATGTAAAGGGGAATTTAATGTTTGTACAGTTGAATACATTCGAAGTTGAATAAGAAATACAATTGGATTATGCTCACTAATTGATAAATTATAATAATTTGGCCAATCTAATTCTAACTGATTATGTTGTTCACTTGATAAAATATTGGAACGATCTAAATGTGTATAGAATTTACCATTTGAATGTAACTGAATAGGATTTTCGACTTGTTTAACAATTGGTTTCCCAGGTACTGGTGGAACAGCTGTGAAAATTAAAACGAAAATCAATATTTACTGATATAGACTTTTTATATGTATACATTTATATAAGAGTAATTAAGAGGTATTAGTTACAAGAAACAGTCTATATTAAGCCAAATTATAGTATTCTAAACATTTAACTGATATTTTAAGATTTAATGGTCATAGTGTAGTGAACAAGAACACCAGTGGGGACAATCGAATGTATTTAACACAAATCACAGGACTTGTTGATAAAATCTAATAATCATGAAGTAAATGCCTAATTTGCAAAATATCCACCTCTCTGCTGCCAGACCTTCTGTTCACGACAAACATCATATACTACTTACGTCAATATATGTAGCACACACCTCAGTAGTAGTTATTATTAAGAAATAACGATACATTTTTAACTTGATAAAAACCCAAGTTTTTTATTTCCTGTATAAGACCCAACTTTACAAGTTTTAAAGGACCGTTTAGTGTATTTTAACTTTCAGTTATTCCTTAAAACTAAGGTACAGACTCGAACTAATCAGATTAAAGAATGTAATTCTAGGTTTGTAGTGCATGACTGCCCAAAAAATGTTAGCTTTCGTTCTAGGCCTTGTTGATTTGGAAGATGATATCATATTAGTGTATATAAGGAAGTATAGTCCCATTAGAAATTTATTTTATATTATCTCAAACAATAAAATATTTTGAAGTATGTTAAAAACACAAATGATAAGAACTTATTTACTTTTTAACTCATTCTAAAGGGATTCTGAAATAAATAATTTGACCAATTGTTCACAAGATCATAAAAACCTCATGTAGCCAATGCAATACAACTGACTATTAAAAGTTAAGTTATTTTGCAATGATTTTAATGCACCAGTGGTGTATATCAATAAATTCCAATGAGAATGTCATTATCTTTGGGTGGTAATGATAGTCATTATTATTTGAAAGAGTGTTCATAATAATGATTTCTAACCCTATAAAGTTTAACAAGGTAAAATAATTTCACATTATATGAATGAATTTCCTTATGAAGTCTACTTCGATATCAAGATATGAAAATCTTTATATAATTATTAAGTATCCATTATTCATTTTAAAAAAATGTGAACATAAAACACACTACTGATATTTATCATATACATTCATATTGGTTTTGATAAGTAAAAATACTCATAGTTAGTCGAAGGGTAGTTCAATTACATCTTGATATGTAACTCATACCTTCAACCATACTTTAGTTATTGTCTGTTCATGTTCATATCTATCTTCAACATTAAAAAGAAAATTAGTTTAGTTATGTGTAATCATATATATTGAAATGACAGTATTAAACAGAATACATTTCTTGTTTATCCTTCTACACATGATAAATAGTTTTCAAAGAATCAATAATGTTTCTTTCATCTAGTTTTAGAAATAAAGATTTGTTAAAACATTTTATGAGCATTTCTAAAATAGATCTATCAGGATAAAAGACCCATGTGGTTAAATCACTACATAAATCAACTTATCCTTACAGATTTCATTATATCAAAACTACATGATATAATATACTTTGACATGAAACCACTGTACTATCTATGGAGATATAGTTTGTTTACTTTACAAATACGTAGAAAATAACTAATTATTCATTAACATACCGACTTTGTAGGTGATATATATGTATAATCTATAAATTATACTTAATGACGTGATTTAATGAAATGTAGTGATAGAATACCTATGGGAATTTACATAAGTCTATTGAAAACAAGTTCTTTGTCATTCAGTCCGGTAAACAACTGTTTAGAGTAATAACTGAAACAAAACCAAATACATCATTGTAATTGAATTAGTTAAAGTAAATCGACAAACTGATTGGTTAAAGATAGGGATTTATGATTAAAATCTTAACTAAAAAAATTGTTTCACCACACTATATATGAGTATGTATTTACATCTATATTTGGTCACTATTTTAATATCTGACCTGTTTTACCACACTAATTCCATAAAACATCTAAATACGCTTTTTTATACAAATTATTCTATTTTATTGCTGACCGAGTGTATAATAAATGATCAACTAACATTGATCACATTTTATAGATTGTATTTATAATATAAGACGAAATCTATGGCGCCGTCATCTATGTTTGATGATAGATGACTGTTTGGAAGTGCTGAATCTTGGTTTTCTATAGGTTATTAGTCAGTAACAATGGCGCAAATACAGTTTTGAGAGAACTGAAGCTCTTTTAGGGAGTCTAATCCCGGTGCCACTTCTTTATGGTTGCTTACCATTGCCTAACGTCAAAAAAGTTCACCGTGATCTCCAATCAACTCGCAATAATAGTCTCACCACATTTTATATATGATCAGCGGAACTCGATTAGTTTTAGAAATGAGAAATCAAATTGTATTTTCAAAAAAAATAGACAGCTGCATCAAATTTTACATAGGAAAATTTTTTCTTGTTTAATATTGTTGTGGATGCGGAGGAACAGACCAATAATTATCATGTTAAGTCCAATGGTGTCCTTGGACTTTAAATGGACATTTCCTATTGGTCGATATCTGTTCACTTGTTGAATATTGTACAAAATGTTGTTTTCTATTTTATGGTACGATGTGGTATGCTTGATTGGTATATAAACAAAGTATGTTTGAAATATAATGACTCATATCTCAGAGGTTGTGACTTGTGTTCTGGACTCAACTGGCTGGGCTAGACAGGGAAGCGGGACCAATCGAGACTCTAGGCAGTCCGTACGTGTTTACGTGTCATTGGATCGATCGATAAATACGCTGCTCTCTAATCTCTTCAGTCAAGGACACAATTAGCACAGGGTAAAAATCAACCCAACTTAAAGTCATAACAAATATATTATAAGAATGAATATACATTTTATCTTATGTGCAAATTATTTATCCTTCCAAATTACCGTTCATGTTTAGGAACAAGACCGTTAGATAAATTGTTACACATTGCATTTCGAAAGTAAATATGAGCCAGCGAAATACCACATACCTTAACACTGATTTCATGTTTCATATTAAATATAAGTCAGAAATTTACTCCTCAAATGAAAATACTTACTATCAGAAGGGGTTTTGGGGAGATTTTAGTAATTTCAGTGGTTGATATCATGAGCCAATTGAAGTTAGACCACCATGGAAAACCTGTAAGCACTGGACGGCCGTTTCGTGCTATTGTGGGACTCCTCAGCACTGTGCGGTGCTTTCAGGCTTTCCATGGTGATCTAGCCTAAATTGACTCATGATCTGAACTATTGAAAATAATTACGTTAATAAAAGTAACATAAATTTACTTACTTTGAGGATCATAAACACCTTGACTGCATACACCAATTTTCGTAACATTTTTAACATAATTAACTAATCTTTTCTGTTGTAAATTTTCGATACATTTCATCGTTTGACAACATTTAGTATAACCATACGGTATACAATCAGCATTATGTTTACACGTATGTTGACATGATTCCGGCCATGTATTTAAACGAGGACAAATGCATTATTTGGATTATTTTTTAATTGATCTGATTGGCTGTAAACTTGTTGAGCTGTATAACATGCTTCTAAACATGTAGATCTAATATTTTGTGATTCAAGCACAGGGGCTGGAGACGACGATGAGGAAGATGACAAGGAGTGGGATGATGATGATGATGACGCGGATGATAATACTGTTGACATAGAGTTACTTATTTCATTTGAATTTGACATGGAAGTGTATTTCTGAGTTATGTCAAAATATAGAATAATCAAAACATTATCGATGAAATGAAAGTTATCAATGAAGTTAAATGCATATATTGCTTAAGAACTGGATAATTTAACCAGTGTTATTATCAATTTTATAAAATGATAAGAAATGACTTAATCAGATCACATTATTAAAAGCAGTTAATTAATTAGGTAGACATTCATCTACTTCATTTTCTCATCAATAGTGCTGTGTGATTTAAATAATCCAGTTGGATGATTAATTAGTTGTTAAACTGATCAATCAATTTTTCAACGGATTTCTTCAATTACAATTTTAGAGTTGTTAATAGTACGTGCCCAATGATATGTGCTTGGTACTTAATGTTTCATTTTCTGAAGTTACAAACATTCAACTAGTTTTACATTCGGTTGGTATATAAATAGTTAACTATTTCTAAGTAAACGTCATCGTCAACTTAAACGTATAACCACTAAAATAAGTTTACGCAATTTATTAGCAAATCAAGAAAGTATCAAGTCATTTGTCAATGGAAGTTCTCTTGAGTAGGTATTTTGTATTTCTCACTTATGGAGAGACTAAGACTTTACTTCCATTTTTCGGGCTATTTTATTTAGATACTTAACGTCAAATGAAACTGATTGAGTCATAGTTCTAACTTGCAAAAACTTACTTACAATCGATCAATAAATGGTTGTTGTGTATTATGGCTTGTAAGTAGTTTCGGATGATGTTAGTTAATATTTCAATGTCATAAAATGATAATAATTGAGTTGTATTACCTAAACAGTGAAAAGTAATTATGAAGCCGTAATTCGGTTAACTCAACCCAAAAAACAACTATCACTTAACGATGACAGCCCGTTTTGTGTCATTTGTATATTGAGTTGTAAATATAGTTTGAAAGAATTTACGTCAAATTTGTTTGGTAGAATTCTATCGGCTTCAGTTACTAAATAACACTGAATATAACTCAGTGATCCATTAATGAGAATTCTTCGTCTTTACAATATATCAATATCCATAAGAATACCTTCGTAGTGACCTCTCTGTTCGCAATATCGAATGTTTTGCGTTTGAATCCTGCGGAGAAATAAGGTCCTTCAAAGTCTTTACATATTATTTTCTGAAGACTTCAATCCATCAAGAAGCCTACATTTAGCTCTTCCTACTTACTGAATTGCATAACTTACCATCAAACATAGTGTATTCTCATTTCAAATCACTACTCTGACTGCCAGCATTGTAAACAAAACTGTCAGAATTCAGATAATAATAATGATTACAATACATAACGTTGATTACTACTACATATCTTTATATAAATCATCATCATCATTACTATTTTTTATGATTGAAATAGAAGAAGGATCAGTGAACAGTTACCGAATAACTAAACGTCAACAATCGGTTATTTCAGCATAGAATCAAAATATGAATTATTTTCTAGTTTTGATGTTAAAAGAAAAATGCTGATTTTTAATTGAATAAATATGACTTAATAAGAAAAGCTTAAATTTATTATATATATATATATATATATATAGTGAATGAAAACAAGTCAAAAAAATAATCTCCACAACCCTATACAGATAATTACCATATGCTCACTAGTGATTAAATTCGTGAGGGAATTCTCGGAGTTTTAGGGAGAAGCTGTGACCAGTGGAACTAATCCGTGTCGAGTAGATACGGGTATCTACCTCAGTATTATGTAAGACCGTCACGCAATTCCGCGAATTGGTTGAGGTTAGACATTAACAACGTTGGATGCCGACTCAGTGGTCTAGTATGTTAAGAGTTCGCGCAAAACTGAAGGCCCTTGGTTTGAATCCTGCGAGAGGGATCGTGGATGCGCATTGCTGAGGAGTCCCTTAATAGGACGAAACGGCCGTCCAGTGTTTCCAGGTTGTCAATGATGGTTTAACATCAATCGGTTCATGATCTCAATCAATAGCTCAATAATCTCCATAACTCTATACTGACAAAAGAATTAGCCGAAAATCAATTAAGTACAAAGAAACTATAGGATATGTAAACTTAAGAAAAAAAACATGAGTTAAAAATTCCAATTATATCTGGTATAATGAATAAACTGAAATTAGATAATGAATAATAAGAAAAAGATATAAATTGAATCTAAGTTAATTAGTTTGCCTTATAATTAAAAGAAGAGTCAGATTACATTAACTTACTTCAAAATTAACTAATTAATTAATCTGTTTTTTTAATGATTTTTTCTATTAAATGAGAAACAATTAAAAGGTAATGTTCAATGTATTTCTTTAGTTAACATTCTATTTCGTATGTTTTTCTTTTCAGTGGTTAAATAAAATATAGTATCGTCCTATTATGAGACTTCTCATCAGTGCGTATCTAGTGCTTCCAGGTTTTCCATGATGATCTAGCTTCAATTGACTCGTGATATCAACTATTGAAATTACTATAAAATATCCACACAAAATACTCCTTTTGACATTAGAATATATTATGTTTTAGAATTACCAAGGGAAAATGAATGTTGATATAGAGTATTACAATGTATGGAAATCTATTTAATGAATTTAATTCACTATAGATTACAATAAGAACATACTTTGTATGGAATTTATAATATTCGACTATAGGTATATGAATTAATAATAATAAGTTTAGAGTAAGATAACTGAATCTAATTTTGTTAAGCACAAATACAGATCTAAATTTGTAGGCACCATATCATAACTCTCTTTTCAAATGAATTTGAGAGTGATCAATAGTTCTACACCACTTAGTTCAAATACATTGATCAATATTTCGAAATTTTGTTATATCATGATTTAGAGAGAGAGAGAGTTTATTTAATATTCTTTATAGTTTACTGGTCATATTCTCAATATAGCTGACTGTCATCAGTTATATATATAGTGAAACATATACACATGTTTACACAATGATGTATGTTCAGAGGGAACTATTTTTGGCAGTAATTAAAATATCTAAGTTTTCAGAAATGCGCTTAAAAACATTTTAGTAAATATGCATCTTTCAATGGTTAAGATCATTAGTCAGTTGGAGCTAGACCACCATGGAAAACCTGGAAGCACTGGACGGCCATTTCGTCCTAGTATGGGACTCTTCAGCAGTGCGCATCCACGACCTCTCCCCCTGCGGGATTCGGACGCAGGACCTACTGGTTTCGCTCGCGAACACTTAACCACTAGACCACTGAGTCGGCATCCACCGGTGTTAATGTCTAACTTCAACTAATCCACGAAATTGAGCGAAACTAGTAGGTCCTGGGTCCGAATCTCGCAGGGGGCGAGGCCGTGGGTGAGCACTTCTGAGGGGCCGCACAATAGGACGAAACGGCCGCCCAGTGCTTCTAGGTTTACCATGGTGGTCTAGCTTCAAATGACTAATGATCTTAACCATTGAAATTACTATAATATCCACAAAATCCATCAAATATGCATCTCTCAAATAAAACATTAAAATTAAACAATTAATGAAAATATTATATTATTACTAACCACTTAAGTTTATGCTGATTACAAATTATGCTGAAGTAAATTAGCTCGAACGAGTATCCATGAAAGAATTATAAATCTAATTACAAAGCATACTACTTATTAACGTAGGTTATTTTGTTATTGTGGGTTATAATACCGAAACGAAATGAGATCAAAGGAATAATTGAATAAAAAAAGAAAATAAAAGTCTCTGGTTGAAAAAAATATTTTGCTAATGGTAGAATTAATTCAGGGCGTAACTTAAGATTTAAGCAGAGCATACCCAAAAATAAATTTTAGTTTAATCGGCTAACATTTATTCAATCTGAATTAAATAAAAAATGTTAAATAAATGCGAACTTATACATCATGTGAAAATAATTAATTTATTGTTATTTAATTCAGTTTTGTACTGTTTATTTGAATCTTCTCATTGATGTTCTGAACTGCAATTGATTAGTCTTTTATTAACATATGTGCACCCGATGCAGATTACCTCGATAGTGCCTCAAGTTACAAGCATTATGAGCAAAGGTGGGCGGTGGCTAATTTGGCTCAGTAGCTGTGTGGATGACGCGATAACGTTTACAGCAAATGGTACTGGGTTCGAGTCCCAGAGTGAACATCAATGCTGGGATATAGACACGTCCAGTTGATGAGTTAACAGTAGAACGAGACGCGGGTCCTAGATTCTACTGCTAGTTACTATCCATCGTTACTTTTATTGGTTTAAAATTCTGATCATTACTTACTACTACAAGGTTTGTTTTGTTCTTTTAAAGTAAATCTAGCTTTATTACTGTTTTCAAGTTCTTATGAATTAATTATCACGAATTTTATTGACGTAAACTCAGAGTCTTTATTCGATTTTTTGTTCATATTGAAATTAATAACCAAAAGTTAATATGTGCCAGTTTATACTATAGAAGTATTTCTTAAAGCTCATGCATATTGGCGGTGTATTTTGTTTTTATACTTTCTTCTGTTTCCTCCAGAATTTGATAGAACGCTCAATGAATAACAATGAATCTTCGCGTCATATCAACGTTTTACTGAAATACTTTTTAATGAAGAAAGAAATACTCAAATTCCGTGGTTTTCTCTGACAGTTAAATTATCTGAATTACCTCTGACACTGTGGTAAAGAATGAAGTTTAGTCGCTTGATAAAGATGCTTCAAATTGGTTGATTCCAGTGAAAAAAAAGGTTCTGAGTTATTGTTTTGGTTCATAATCAACTTATCGTTAGTCTGTCATCGAAAACTATAATATTATATAATAAAATACAGTTGATACATGTCGATTTAGAAAGTCATGTTTAAAGATGTAAGCCAGTATATTTAAACAACAAATAATGTACATTTTATCAAAAAATTTCCTATTTGATAACAACAATTCTTGTTGTAATGTTACCACATTTAATTGTGAAGGTTAGAAAGATTTTGAAATGTTTGCTAACAATTACTATAATCTATGTAGTTCATGTTTAGTGAATAATTTGTATTACTATTGGTTATGTATTGACAAGATTACAATGTATAGTGTTCCCTGAATGGTACCATGTGAAAATCTATTTTACATCTTGAATTTATAAATATATTATAGAGATTTAGAAGATATCAATATGATCCATAAAAAGAAGTTCTATACATTCTACAAGTTATTTATTCAACCTTAAAGAATTAAATTTATTATTCCCTCATTTCATTGTAAACTTTACTTGATCATTTATAAACTAACGTTTATATCTATCAATTACAAAAACAAATACATCATCCATGAAGTATATTGAAGAGATAAAATGTCGGTCATTTCACCAAAATTACTACTAGTAACTATCAATAATAATTATGAACAAAGATGAATGGTGGCTAGCACTGGAATCTGGGACGCGTATTTCGTCCTATTTGGGGCTCGTCAGTAGTAACAAATGACATATATATATATATCTTTAAACCATTAGCTGTAGTTTTAAGTTAACTGATAACTAAGTAAATATCAAGTAATGTGGTAAGCACCAAATATTTCTTTCCTTTGCAATAATTCTAATTATATCAATAATCAATGATGATATTAGTATTTCACAGTGTAGTATAACTGAGGTTATTAGAATTAGATAACTCAGTTATTATCAACTTGTATCAATTGTTTATTATGAATAATAATCAAAAGTAAATATTAATTTCCCAAATAGTGTTGCTGAGGTAACCAAAATGAACATTTCAATAATAAAATCTTATAAACAATAATTCAGAAAAAACAAATGAAAACTATTCACCCTAAATCCAAACGACCTGACAACTGGTTATTTTTTTGTTTTTTCTAAAGAATCAATCATTTAATTAAACTAAACAAACTGATGTAGCTCTTTTCAATATTTTTTTGGATAATCACTTATGTAATTGGAATTTGGTTTTGTTTTCTATTAACCAGAAAACGAAAGATCATCATTATGTATTTAATGAGAGAAAAAATAAACGGTATACTAAAGACAATAGTTGACAAAACAATTATGTTGGTCGATGGATGAGATACTCTTAAATTTATTTATATTTAATTATATAGATTGAAACAATCTGTATAAATTTAGGCTCATAGTCAATTTGGAGATTCTTTTGTAGGTCAGTGTTGATTGAGTGAATTACAGTCATAAACTTGATATATTTATTTTCATAAGTCAATTTAAGCTAGAGCATCATTATTACAATCTCTACGAAACCCCTCCTGATATAAATATATATTAATTACCATTATTATTATTGATATTATTACTATCCACATCATTATTAGGACTATTTAAGTTACCCCGTTGTTGACATTCCTGATCCAGCTTATATCAGTCATAGTTAATAATTGCTCATCTTGTGCGGATTACGTTAAAGAAGTCATTTTTAACAAGTTTCTATTCAATTTCAAGAACTTTGGTTAGCAGTGAATTCCTGAACACAAATCTTGTTCCAGTTAAGACTTATCAGCTAGCCACAATTCATAAATTGAATCAAAACTTGTCAAAATTGACTACATCGAGGTTATCCGCAAATGGTGGGAAAATGCCAACTAAGACTGATGAAAGCTCAGTAAAGAATATCAACAATGAAATAACTCAAACTGTCCTAATGATGATAAAAGTATCATACTAGTTGTACAAATGAGTAACTACCTGGACTTCATAGCTAGTTGAAGAAAAACATGTTAATTTTGATTTCCATTGTGAAAATCAAACTAGGATGCATCTACAAATACCTCATTAGTCTCAAATGAAACAAAACTGGAGTCCTGAACTTTACTGCTATCCATTATTTACATATTTAAGAGCAGGGATCATTATTATTAGTCAAAGTAATATAAACATGTCTAAAGTCACAATTAAAGTGAGTTATATAATATAAAAGTACTATATAACGCATCACTATATAATGCATTTTACCCGATTAAATAGATTCAAAAATTGACTACCCGATCCAAAAACAGATGAACACAAAATCTATCAACTAAACTACACGTTTTCTAAACATAAACAGCTATAAAAAACAACTTACAATCTGTTCAATACTAAAATATGGCAAACCAGATTACTGATTTACTCCACCTGGAGCCCCTCTGGGGCTACTGCCGGTTCCAAGCCCGGAAAAAAGAAGAGAGTTCGGCACAGCGTTAGCCACCCCATCCCGTAAAAAACTAACTCGCCAAAAAATGCTAACCAGAAAAAATATTTCAAACCATTTAAACTTTGCCCTGGGAGCTAGAAGGTTTTCATTTAGAAGAGTTATGATGCCTTATGGTGAAAGCCAAGTTCCTTCGGAAGTCACGAGGCTGATGCCTCATCTGACAACTAGAGCAACCATTAATTAGGTACATGGAATGCTCGTACATTGTAGGAGACCGGGAGAGTCTTTCAAATCGCTGCAGAATTTACTGATTTTTCTCTTTAACAAATATAAATCATTCAACTAATGTTTATAATTACTCAGTAAATTTACATAAGGATATTTTATTAGTATATGTAATGAGTTCGAAAAAAATATCGTGTAATTTAGTTATTATTGAGTAAACTATATTGTTATTTCTACTTATACTCTTGTATGAGTCAGACGTCTATTTCTTAGAGTAAATGATTTCGGTTTTGTGGTATACATCCTCTTGAAATTCGAATCGGACAATGGACCTAGGTTCTGGTAAAAGTTGACTTATATTAACAGGACAATTTTGAAATATTGAAATATTCCTATTGTGATATGAAGTTGTGTTATTTAGTATTATAATTGCTGAAAAATGCAAGCCTGAGCAGACGCTTTATTGGAGTAAGGTGTTCATATAAATCGATCACTGGTTTGCAAACGATTTAGTATTATCTAGGCGATGATGTTAACTCGATTTCAACTATCAAGCTGGAATATAAATACTAATATGGGTGATTTAACATCTACCTAGAACTCAATTAATGTTACCTACTTTAAGCATCAGTAAACTGGTTTCGCTTGTAAATATAACTTTCAGTAGGGATTTCTCTTTGAGATGATGGTTGGAGGTAGTTGACAGGAAACCCTGGACCTAGGTTTCATACTGCTTGGCATTCGTCAGCAAGGCGCACCTGAAATCTTGAAAGAACTGATGCTCAAGATTACAGGTACGCTTTCCTGACCAGTGTCAAGCAGCCCAGAACCTAGGTCCAGGGTCTCCTGTCAACTACCTCCAACCACCCCCTCATCTCAACATAATGCACTCAATGTCGAGTTTCCTAGACTAGTGGCCACATTTCAACTTGGTCTATAGAATATGATCTGCACTAAGAAGGGATTTCTCTCTGTTAGTGAATACAAGCAGTACACCTTTTACCCATTGGTTAATAATAAGATATGCATTGCCTATCAATTACATTGCTTTCATTAATTTCAATATGATGTTAACCTTTATTATGTAATGAATATTAGTAGTATGTTTTGCTCTAAATTCCAACGGGACTCTCTTCTGATTGCTATATTTATATGGTATTATATAATGAAAACTCAAACGATTGGGGTATCTTGTTATAGAATTGACTAAATCACTTTTATGGAAATAATGGACCATGATATAGTTTATATTCGCTTTATCCAAATAATGTTATATACTGATAAGGAAGCAAAATATTTCCAGTTAAAACATATGCCCAAATAATAATTAATTTAAATTAATCATTACCTGACATGAAACAGAACAGTCTATGGTTTGACTTCTTGGCCATTTACATATTTCGAGGCACTAAAAATTGAAGTAACAATGAAAACAAATGAAGGACATTAGTTTTAATTACGTTTATTAATTTAATTCTAACAAGTAAGAACATGATATATTAAATATACTTTGTAATTTTAAGATATAACTGTAGTGAACGAGAACATAAGTGGGGACAATCAAATGTATTTGAATACAAAATTACAGAACATCTTAGTAAAATCTGAGAACCATACAGTAAATACTTCATTTGCGAAATGTCAATCAATCGTCTCAAACTTCATTGTTTTTTCGTTTCCACACTAATTATTCCTTGTTCTCGTTCTTTTTCTTTGATCTTCTTAACCTTCTGCCTTCAGGCATTTTACTTTCGATTGGTGATACATACTACTTATATCTGTCGACATCAGTAGCACACACCACATAACTACAATTTCGTTAAGTCGAATTAACATAAATATTAAGTTGCTTGAATAATAAGTGAATAAAAGATATATTAGTGGAATATATTAAAGGAAACCACAAGGAACCAATTTATACGAATATTAGAACGAACAGTATGAAAGAATTTGGGCGTTGAGTACGGAGAAGATGTTATATGTGTAAATTATATGTGAAACAATCTCAGCAATTGAAATTTAAATAATTTTGATTTTGATTATTGCCCTGAAGATGTCCAGAGAAGTTTGTTGGAAGAAACGTTGGGATTTTGTAAATTTTAATCGCTGAGATTATTTCAAATGTAATTTTCACATATAATATCTACAAGAAAACAGTATAGATTACTTTCATCAAGATTGTTGATATGAAATGAATATAATGACATTTAAATTTTCATTGCCTATCCTAATTTATCCCTGTAACTAGATATTATCTATAATAATCTTATATAGTTGAGTGACTAGTATTTGTAATAAGACATTTTTATCCTCTATCTAACAGATACTCCTTCTGAGACTCAAATATTCACATGTTATTACTTTAACTGTAAATAATACTATCCATAAAACTATTTAAAAGAGATTTATTGTTAGCTGATCTATACGAATATTTATGTGATTTTCCTTGGACATAACCTTCAATGCCGTTTCGCTAGTCATAAATTTCTTAGCAGATATTTATTTCAATCTATTTATGTTAAGTTATGAATTATGAAGTTCATTCAGTTTTATAAAATATTGACTCGAGTCGTAGATCAGTTGTTCACTGTATTCCCTGATATAATAAGACTTTTGTTCAATGTATATAAAAAGCTCTATACAGATTTTGCACAATCTGTACTCATCATCATTTCAAACAATCAAGACAGTTTTTTCTTACGTTCAATAAAAACTGTCTAAAATTATTGCTTAATATGGTTTCTATTTGAAATGAATTATAATAAGAACGGATAATTATACTAATCGGAAGGGGGTTTGTGGAGATTTTAGAAATCATGAGTCAATTGGAGCTAGACCACCATGGAAAACCTGAAAGCACTGGACGGCCGTTTCGTCCTAGTATGGGACTCTTCATCAGTGTGCATCCACGATCCAGCACCCCGCGAGATTCGAACCCAGGACCTATCAGTCTCGCGTCAGGCACTTAACCAACTAGACCACTGAACCGGGATCCAACAGTGTTAATGTGTGACTTCAACCAATCCACGAAGTTGCGCCACCGCACTGCTGAGGAGTCCCATGCTAGGACGAAACGGCCGTCTAGTGCTTCCAGGTTTTTTACGATGATCTAGCTTCAATTGACTCATGATTTCAGCCAGTAAAATTATACTAATCATCAATCGTTTGTTAATTATTTAATTAAAAGTCATTAAATGTTTATATTATAAACATTGAATAAACACTTTCATACTTCATATGTACAATATTTTGTAGGAATGAATCTTTCAGTGATTCTATTCATCTTGTACCGGCCTATGCTCCATTAGGAGTAACAGGCGTAAGTAAGTAAAGTAAGTATTTATCTTGTACATTATATGAATGTATTTAGGACTAGATCTTGGACTATCCCAATGAATTGTTAAACATTTATCTAATTCAATTCTTTATAACTATATAGTTCAATTGAATTATAAGTTGGAAAATGAATTTACTAAGTTAATTTACTCTAATAAATCATTATAAAAGATAATTCTTCAGTTTAACGAACAATTTAATAATAAGTAGTATAGATAATTGTGATACAATATTTTCTCTTATATGATAATATTGGTGAATATTTCATCTAATCAAATTTTATGAGAAAACATTAACCATTCTGCATCTGTTTTAAAAATATACCTTTGAGCTTTGATCTTTCTTTGATACTTCTTTTAATTTAGCCTCAGGCAATGGAACTAAATACTAATAAAAATATTTTTGTTATTCTATAAGAATAAGGAGTTTTTTTTTACATCCAATGATAATTCTATTAGCTTATTGATAAACTATTAGAAAATGAAACTAATGTATTATAGATCCTTTTTTTCGTCATTAGACATCAAGAATCAAAGCCTAGAATCAAAATAACGAATAAATATATACCATCAGATAAGGAATTTATTGAAAAGACATTTATGCGTGACAAAAGATAGATTGGTAAAAACATGGTAAAATGATTAGTAGATTATTCAGGAATTGTTTGTGTTTTCTCATTTAAGTAGTTATTTTTGTTCTGTTAATTATTGACAATAATATTTTTCATAGTTACTTACTATGGTTTAGTTAGTCAATATTAAGAAGACATTAACACCGTTGGATATCAACTCAGTGGTCTAGAGGTTAAGCATTCGCGAGCATGATTGAAGGCCTCGGGTTTAAATCCCGAGTGCAGGATTGTGGATGCTCACTGTAGAGGAGTTCCATAATAGGACGAAACAAGTTATCCAGTGTTTCTACGTTTTCAATGGTGGTCTAATATTCATCTATTCATTGATATCATTTGAAACTCAACAATCTCTACATTCCTATACTGATATTTTTAAAATGTTAAATTTACTACTTGCAAATAACACAAAATGATATTGACAACAAATGGTTAAAGTTAGTTTGAGTAATTCATTTCGTATCCTAAATGTTTATCGGAGATTTTTAACTTCAAAGTTTATTCTTCATAAGGAGTTAATCACTAAAAACACTGTGATATATATCAAGAAAAAAACAAAGGTCAGAATTATGAGATTAAAACAAGGTTTTAACTATTTTACCCATACAGGGTACACATCTAATTCATAGCATACAAATGATACATAATTCTTTGGTGAACTTTTGTTTTCTTGAAACGAACTTCATAACACGAATAATATTTCTAAATGAATACAAATTTTTGTTTGTCAGCATTGATGAAACAAGAAAAGAGAGTAATGTTGATAAAATGATGCATCGATTCCGTAGAAAGAAAAAGACAATTCATGAAGTGCAGGTTTACTATTGACATGGATGATTAATTTTTTTTCATTTTATTTTAAAAAATTTCAATTTATTTTTGAATTAGTTGTTTGAATAACCCTGTTGATATTTTGAACTGCAATTGACCAGTTTCTTATTGGCGTATGTGCATCCAGTGCAGATTATCTCGATATTGGTTTAAGTCACAAACATTATAAACAAAGGAGGATGGTGGCTAGCGGTGAAATCTAGGACGCTCACTTCTTCCTATTTGGGGCTCGTCAGCTGGATATACCTACATTACAGAGTTGATATTCACTTCGGGACTAGAACTCAGTACTGTTCACTTCAAATGCCATCACGTTATCTACTTAGCTACCGAATCCAGAGAGCTTGTTCAGGAGCGAACATCAAGTTTGGAATGGAGGTACGTTCAGTAGATGAGGTCCAAACAATGCGAAACGCGCTTCCTGGATTTGACTACTAGCCATTATCTATCTTTGCTTACAACTTTTACTTTACGCTAATGGAGGTGAATTTAAATAAAAAGCTTAGCATATAAAAAGATCTGAATATTTCGACGTAGCAATCATAGAAGATATATTGTATCGGCTAAAGTGAAATAACTTGCCAGAATTTAGGTAATATTGTGGTAAGTAATAAGCCTTGAAGATAATCAATACTCAAATATGAATAATAACATAAAATAATTGCAAAACAAATCTTGTTATAATGATGGGTATGGCAGAAGGCACGAAATACACAGCATTTCAAACAGATCATCCACTTCATAAGGTTAAGAAAAGGTTGATCAGCAACCATAACTGAATGATATAGATGAATTTATATGTGAATTCGCTTCATCTACTTGCAACTTATAACCAATAATGTTATTCATTAGAAGCAAAACAAATATAAAATGTACATTTATATAGTTAACGTATAAACAAATGAATGTATGAACAAAATTATAGTTTGTTTTCACAAGCTCATAAAGAGAGAAACCCCAACGTAACATGAGAAGTTCATTAATGCAGTTTAAAGAAGCAGAAAAAGCGCTTATAACATGGGAATGTTATTATCTGAACCGAAAGGTTGACATGGACACTGCCAGGTATGTAAGTATCATGAGGTTAAATGGATCGGGAGAAATGAATTATATCGTCGGAAGACTGGAAAATCTATTTCTTTTCAAACACGCTGTTGTGGATGGCACTTCTTTTCCCCATAAAACCATATATGAAACCACATATAGTCACTAGTCCACTCTACAGAAAACCAAATAGATTACATTTGTAAAAGTAGAAAATTCAGAAGGTCCACGAAAATCATAAGAATATAGTAAAAAGCACATACAATTTCACATAGACTACTTGGTTGTGACCGACCTAAATTAAAACTAAAGCAGGATTGGAAAACTGTACAAACAGGATTATAATGTTCAATACAACGTCCCTTCCAGATGCTAAAAAGCTCAGCGAATTCAAGATAGTTCTCACTCTCAAGCTCCAAACCTTACATTATTTATTAGCAGAAGAGGAAATCACCATAGGGAACAACTGGAAAGAGATGAGAGAATCAATAAATTCATCATCTCAGGAATTGCTTGCTCCTAATAAACACTAGAACAAAGAATGAATCGCTATCAACACCCGAAATAGG